TGAGATCTGGAGAAACCCCATTGCGTTAACCAGTTTCTGCAGACACCCACACCCCTGAACTGCAACAAAGAGGGAAAGACTTGAGGGCTTTTTTTTTTTTTAATATGAAATAGCAATGAAAACAGCAGTACTGATTCTCCTGCAAAAACTGAGGGAGACGAACCAAGAAATAAGCAGATAAATGGTTACACTGTCACATTTGTAGCCGTTTTCGTTCTTCCATTTACTCACATAATAGTAAAAGGGCTTCTTTCCAAGGCAAGAATTGGATACTATAGGAGTATATTTTTAAATTTTTTTCTTTACCTTTCCCGTGTGTGTGCTTGAGAGCATGTGTGTGCATCACATTCCTCATAAGTGGGTCACGTAGAGAGAGTTGTGACACTGCAGCAGTAGCGTAGACTGAACCCACGGTCATCTCATCACCACGGCGAGGCTCTGGGTAGCTCGGGGCTCTGACCCAGTTGGGACACGCAAGGCATGCTGCAATTTTTAATGTGATGTAGGAAGGCATGATGGGAACTTGGTTATGGTTGTACACGGCGCCATCTCAGCGTAGGTAGGGGCTAGGGCTTGGACGTGGGGAATTTTTGCTGTTTATGCCTTGATTTTTCTTGGAAGGGTCAAGAGTTTTGCTGCGTGGGTATTTAGTTTATGCCCTCTACCTCAAATAGACAGATGTTGTATTTTTTCCCTAGGACTAGGCAAAGGACTTTCTTTGTGTTTCTTTTTCATAAAGATGGCTTTTCTGGAGTTGCTCCTTTTTCTCTTGTTTTTTTTGCCATCTTTCTTGTGGTGAAGGCAGAGAAACTCTTCGTTTCTGTAGCATATTAAAGCTCTTCTAAGGAACTCTGTTTTTCAAGTTGTGCTCTTTAAAATGTGACAGCTCGCCTATTTCTTTTTATTTCATCTTGATTACCTCACTAGGCCTATTGAGTCAAGGATTTGTAATATGGCCAGACTAGTGATCTGTCTTCATTGCTTCTCTTGACTGTACTGAAGATAAGATTTACGGAAAATACTAATTTTTATTTCGGGAGGTTATTGTATTGCCAGTAGCTTAGTACCATTTCTTCCATTAATATACAGTTTTCCACTTGAAAATATTGGCTTGACTTTCATAAAACCAGAACTGGCCAAGTCTCTGAGTAATAGGTAAAAATCAGTTTGTAAGAACTAACTTTACAAAAGAAATTAGGTGTATTTCAGAGTTTATTAATCCTCAATTCTCGTGAAGCTGGCACAGAGCCAAGCGAAGTAAAAGATGTAGATATTTAGTTCTTCGTAGAGGTATGAAGCTTTGTGCCTAAGGGTTTTTTTCTGTCGTAGTGGTAGAAGTGCAGTTGCTGAATTACTGAGATTTGATGAACAAAGAGCCACATAATTCGGGCATTGAGGACTAACTGTAGGGACGTGTTGGGGCACTGGCTTCTTTTTGAGAGTTTACCTTCCCAAAAAGGCATTGCAAACTGATTGTGTCTTCTTTGGTGCTAGAACCTGAGGTAAGTGTCAGCTGGAATATTTTGAAAGGAACTGAGAGGGCTGCCTGCTCCCTGCAGGAAAATGGTGAACTGCTGGAACTGATTCTTAGCCTGATGGTACCACAGAGCTTAGGGTGCTTGCCAGGGAATTTAAAGGTCTTTTGTGTGGTGCTTGCAACAAGAAGCTCTAGTATAACTCTTGTTGTGGAACAGCGCCTTCATCACAAAGCTGCCGGTTGGTGAAGAGCCATGTGGTGAACGGTCTTCTGTGGGGCTGAATCTTGGGCTCCTGTGCTGACCCACTGCTCAGAAAAGAGCAAGCAGGAAGAAGCATGGTGTTTTCTCATTACTAGTTAGAATGCTCAAACCCTGAAATTATTTCAGGAAATTTTGGGGGATTTTTTTTTTGCCCCCATCCATGGATAGATGCCTTTTTGGACTGCAGGTTTTGATTTAAGCGCCTTGATCGCCTTAGAAGGTTCAGTAAAATCTTTTTTTAAATGCCTGCATCTTCTTCTGGCCCTTTTTCTCAGCAAATTTCTATGGGGATGGGGTCTGTGCCCTAGTGGAGCACTTCTAAAGTCTTTATGGTTCCCCACAGGGGTGAGAATTTGCATACACGAATTTGTTGGCTGAGTTGATGCAAAGTTGCATTATGGGAAACCTTTTTTAGGACGAAACTCATTCAGTGAAAGGGTTAGTTGTTTTTTTTTTTTTCCTTCTTCTTTGAAACAAGTACCAAGACATAAATCTGTGGCCTTTTTAAGGCTCAGTCTTGAAAAACCCATGTGTCCAGGAAGACTTGTCCAGTTTGTGTAGAACTTTGTTTCGCAGCATATTATGCCCTTGTAGGAGAAAAGACCTCCCAGGTACAGAGCAGGTGACGCTGTTAGGCAGAGCTTGTGGTTGAAATTCTGCTAGGCTGTCGCTGCTGGTGTGTCTTCATGAAACTGCACTGTGGCAGACACCGCAGAGGCTCATTGATTTTAGCCTCTGTCGCCTGTATTCTGTGCGGCCGTGCGAGTGGCAGAGAAGAGGTGGCGTCGGTGGGCGTGTTCTGGAAGCCACGAAGTAGTGGTGGCAGCCTCTGGGTCTGATGGGTGAGGAGAGTAGGCAGAAGGACGGCGAAGGAGAGCCTCACTCGTAGAGACAGTGAGGAATTTGGAGAGAGGAGAGGATGGAGAAAGTCCACGCGTGAATCATAAGTAGGAATTTGTGGTGGAGTGATGGTCATGTGGGTGATGAAAGCAGGAAGTGGAGAAAACAAATGCCAGTTCTTCCAGTGGCTGATGGTGAGCTCACACTTCAAACTGGTTGGGTCCTAGCCAGTCAGGCTAATACGTCTGATAACAGTCCTCAGAAGCACAGCAAGAAACAGCATCTCGACTTTGCTGGAGAGCTGGGCAGCGAGTGTCGTCTTCCAGTGTGTGTGGTTTGCCCAAGGAGAGAGGCAGTTTATTTCCGCTAACCTTTAATCCCCCCTGCCTCCTCCAAAAGAGATCTCTGAATTGCTGTTACAATCTTTGCTACAGGGTTTTGTGCGAATGATGGGAATGTACCATAGTTAGAAGCTGGAGAGATTAAGTGAGCTGGTGAGGAGGTCATGAACCTAATGTAGGTGCAGGCACACAAGAAGTTGTAGAAGCAGGAATAGAAAAGAAACTGAACACCGTTGGCAACACAAAAACAGATGACAAAATGAATAGGAAAAACATTTGTAATGATCTGGCTAGGTGTATACTGAATAGATGGAGGTAAACCAATTTGAGTATGAGCAATTCTTGCTTAAATTATTGTATGAAACCTTATTATTCTATTCTTGTTTCTGTGGCATGACAGAAGTGGATTGCCATCAGCCAAGCTATGTCCTATATCTGAGACTGCGAAACTCTTTTCTTCTGCTCTTGATTTTGAAAAAAATATCTGTGTGAGGAGCTGTTTTTGTTAGTAGTGGGTGCTTCACACAGAATAATTGTGAGATCATGTATGTTCAGCTGGACACCGCAATGGTTTGTTAGCACAGCTGTCTTTAAAATATAGGAACCTTCCAGCTGAAGATCACACAACTACGGGATTCCTTTGAAAATTACTGGAGTGCTGCTGCTTTTCTTCCAGTTCACTTTCTGGTTTTATTTCTCCCTGAACTTGTGAGAACATTTTCGGATATATAAATTAGGTGGTTAGCTGCAAGGAACGGAGAAAAGTTGAGCTAGAAAAATGGTGGAGTCTAGAAAATGCTTGCTGGTGATCATGGTTGTAGGATTGTGTTTCGGAGTTTTTTCAATTTTTCATTTTTTGTAGCAGTTTCCCTTATGAAGACTTAATTAATGTAAATGTTAATTGGCTTAATTCAAGATGATTGCAATTCTTATGGAAGCCTTGGGCAGAATCTTCATGTTTTCTCTAGGTCCTTTGTGAAAGTATCACAGGAATAGGGAGATTTCTGCCTGCCGCTGTGAAAAGTTTGGAGGAGGGAGAATTGCGTCTCCCATCTGTACAGAAACAAGCAGAGACATGGAGTAACGTTCTGTTGCGTCTTGCTGGTTCTGTGCTTAGGAAACTAAATTGGACTAAGTGCAAGGCAGTAGTAAAAGTTTGTGTTAAATCACATTTTACCCATCTGGATTTGCCTCATCCTAATTATAATGCATGTATGTAAGCAGCAAAAATTTAGATTGCAGTTTCCCATTTTAGTAAGTAGTTTAACCTTGTTTGGTCTTGTTTGGTTCTTTTGTTGAGAAGATTGAAGTGTTTAGTTGTTGCTGTACATTGAAAAAGTGTTGACATTCTGTTCAAAGAAATTCAGTAGATCACAACATTTGGTAAATTTTGAGAATGGTGATTTTTTTTTTTTTTAATACAAAAGCAAATAGGTACTTTGGCATGGGCAGATGATTTTACAATACTCACATCTGGGGTTTGAAAACATGCAATGTTCTAGATGTAGTTTACATTGATGATTTCAGTTCCTGAAATGACATAAGAGTAACTTCCTCCTGACTGGCCAAGTATGATCCCAGGGAACATCAAAAGCGGTGTGCGTTTCAGGTTATTAGCTGTCTACCTTTAACTTACCTTGCTGAGCCTTGTTGATTTGACAGCACTGTATTCCCCACCATCCAAAAAAAGACTTGACCATGAACTCGTTTAGGCTTTGGTGGGTTTTTTGTTTATTTTTTTTTTTTACTTCTTCCTTCTTTTTAAATTATAAGGAAATCATATTTTCATATTGCTTTATCAGCTGCTTCTGTGTTCTTAGAGCTGTGTGGTTTTAAGAAATGGACCTGAAGTGTTGGAGCTCCCACTCCTCTTATTCAGACCCTGGGTGTTTGGTGTTCTAGAGTAGTGTTTCTGGAATCCCGAACAGAGGTACCCTGAGGAAATCTGGACTATATTAAAGTCAAGAGGTGTTGTCTGTTCATTTCCATGCACCCAAAATTTCTGCTTTCCAATGCACAGGCAGAGGCAACCTTCATAGCATAACACAAGTTAAATAACCTTCTTTCTTTACCTTTTACAGACACTGTGACTGATGAGAGTTAAAGGCCATGGATGAAGATGGGCTTGAATTGCAGCCACATGAGCCAAACGCATTTTTTGATCCAACAGGTCTGTCAGGAGATAATATGTAGATAAGAATGTTCACATTAGATGCAACTGACTGTTGTTTATTTTGTCTTTGCTTAAAAGTGCTATGTTTCATCAAGGCTTCTGGTTAGAGTAGTCACTTTTGATTTCTGGCTGTCTTTATTACTCAGAGCAATATGAATAAGGTACTGTTCTGTCAAGTAATAGTTGTTTGGATGTTGAGGGAGAGTCTGAAAATTGGTATTTTTTTTTTACAGGAGAGGAATTCCTGATCATATTATGGTAGCATCTGCTGAGGGCTTGCTTTATCAGCTCCCCATACATCTGCCCATTTTAATTGCTCTTAGGCTGTTATGTCCATTTTATAAACTGCAGCATAGTGTAGAAGCTGGAGTAACATAGAAATAATTTTGATTATTAATCACCTCATCCAAGTTAGTTTTACAGTTTAACTGCTCTTTTAATTATGTTTTTCAGGAGCTGATGCAGCACATATGGATGGAGATCAGATTGTTGTGGAAGTACAGGAAACAGTATTTGTTTCAGATGTAGTCGACTCAGATATAACCGTGCATAATTTTGTTCCTGATGATCCAGATTCTGTAGTAATCCAAGATGTCATTGAGGATGTTGTTATCGAGGATGTTCAGTGCCCAGATATCATGGAGGAGCCAGATGTTTCTGAAACTGTCATTATTCCTGAACAAGTGCTGGACACAGACGTAGCCGAAGAGGTTTCTTTGGCTCATTGCACTGTCCCAGACGATGTCTTAGCTTCTGACATAACAGCAGAAGCGATGTCTATACCAGAACATGTACTGACAAATGAGTCGATGCATGTACCTGAAGTTGGACATGTAGAACACGTAGTTCATGATAATGTTGAAGAAGCAGATATTGTCACTGATACTCTGGGGACAGATGTTGTGTCTGAAGAGGTCCTGGTGGCAGACTGTGCATCAGAGGCAGTGATCGATGCCAATGGAATCCCTGTGGAACATCAAGATGAGAAGGGCAACTGTGAAGATTACCTTATGATTTCCTGTAAGTGACTGGCTCAAACCATCATAGTTCCTACGATATGGGCCTGGGTGGTGCTTGAATTATCTGAGGGAGGGCTTACGATAGTACCGAAACCAGATTTTCTCTATGATTTAGTGAAGAGCAGGTCTCTCAGAGGTACTCAAACAAAGGTATTTTTAGGAACGCGTACCAGCTAAGAGTTCTGGGGAAGCCAATGGAGAGAAGTACTGGCAAATGCGTGTCTCATTGTAAATTAGTTCTGTAGCACTTTATAGTGTATGACCAAAAGAATAAGAATTCCAGTGAATTAAGTGCCATATATTTAGTAAGAACTGAAATAAAAAAGAATGTGACGTGGTTTGAAAACACGTGTATGAAGGTTGCCAAGAAAATACAAAAAATTACTTTGTGGAAAAGGGAAATTTTTGGCAGTCCAGATTACAGTTTGTTATCTTTGTCTCATTTTTTTGCTGAGCCTCCACCCCTTCTACCTGATTTATAGTTAGATACAGGCAGCAGATTTGCTTTCCTCTTAGGATGTGTTCTCTTCCCTTGATTAAGCGAAGGGCAGAGGTATGCTACTAATAAAGAGTTGAAAAGCAACTGTGAATATCTTAATCTCCCTTAGGAACAGTGGCACAATCCATTTGAATCGTATTTCAAAAGACCTGAAGTAGAGGGTGGAGAAAAAGGGAGCGTACCATCAGTCCTTTTTCTCCTGGGGATATCCATTGGTGTGAATTAGAGCTTACTCTGTATGTTACTTCTAAAGAGTATTCAGTGGAACACCTAGGAAGATTTGCGTGTCACTGCTGAGCGTTTGTTTGTTGTAGAAATAGAAAAGCTTTGTTAGGCTGGTTTGTTTAATTGCCATTTCAGGCACTTCAGTTTTGTCTAGCATTAAATGACTCCACTGATAAGGCATACTTCATGCTCCGCTTCTGTTACTTTTTTTCTTTTTTTCCCCTGTGGACACTTTTTTGAAATGTATTGTAACGTTTTAATTTTATATTCTGTACTTACGGATTTTAATGTTGCTTCTCCTTACCTAGGATCACTGCCTTTCTTAATTTATCATCTCTTGCGTTCCTTGAGTAACCTTGTGCAGCCATGTTTTGAGTTTATATGAGGTACAGTTAATTCTCTATTATCTGGGAAAACAATGAAATGGGATAATGCAAAATATGGATAACACAAAATATTGCAAAATTAAGCTACAAGATCATGCTGAGGTCGCATAGATCAGGGATGCTGCTCTCTGAAATAGTATTTATCCAGACTAGTAAACGCACTCTGTTCAGTGTGGTACAGATGTAACTTTCTCATTCTGGACCCAAATTAGATCAGATGAAAGCAGCTCAAACGCTTCTGCACGGGCAGCATAGTTAGGCACCAAAGTGGATAATCTGCGTGTGGATAGTTGAGGCCTGACTGTGTAAAGGCTCTACTGGTGATCCTGACCTGCTTCTTATCCCTGACTTAGCTCTTTAAGATGCTGTTGCTCCTGTCTCTCTGCACACCCTTCCCGTGCAGGTTGTCCTGTCCTGCAGCTCAGGGAGCAGAGTGAGGCCTCTGGGGCTGCCACCGTAGGGGCACTTTGCAAACTGTGTCCCTGTAAATTCAAGTGAGAGGGGTGGGCAGATGGGTGTCCAGTTCAACCATTGCCTGGGGCTGAATGAGGACAGAACATCTTGGTAGATACTGTGATCCCTAAAATACCCACCCAGCTAGGAAGTCTTACTAGATGTACCAGTCATCAACAGGTGGTGACTGGCAGAAAACACAGGAATTTAATTATTTGGTTGAAAACACAGGAATTTAATTATTTGGTTGTGCACGGACATTCTCCATTTTCAGTTGGGTACTTGCGCAGTTTCATACTTTATTTAATATTAAACACCTCTTGCAATGTACTTTGGTTAGATTCAGAACCTTGAATAAGTCAGCATTTAAACATATGCTACAAAACAAGCCTTTGTTCTATTTGTCTTTAAAGTATGAAGTACCTTCTACAGCTCATTTTAAAGGGAAGTTCCCCATTACCACCTACTGTGTTTAAAGCCTGCATAACAAGTTCTTCTGGTTGTGAAGTCAGAGTCTAGTGCTTTTCCATCAAGCAAAAACTAACTTGCCAGATTGTCTCTTCGTTGTATGGAAAACATAATTTGAATATTCATTTTTTTTTGCAATGGCAGCATGTGTTTATTGATCTGATGACTGTTTCGGCTCTTCAGTTTAATTTAGTATTAGGTAGTTTTTAAAAGGTCAGCCTAGTTTTGATTTCTTTTCATCCTCACCTGTATTTTTAAGCTTGATTGGCAAACCTCCCTGAACTGCTGGGGCAAATGTTGGAATGCAGTTTTGTCTGGCATTACAGTAGACAAATGTTGCTGCTTGCCAGATCTGGGAGCCAGACTGTATTCTTCAGGATGCTTTTGCCTGTTTTCTTTTACCTACTGGCTTGCAAAGCAGGGGATGACACTTTTTGTTCTTTCTATCAGAGGTTTCTCAGCCTGTATCCTTCAGTGGAAGTTATTGGCAAAAATATTTTTACTGTCTTCTTTCTGTCTTGGGCTCTTGTTAAGTGTTTCCATTTTTGTTCATAATGAACTGAGTCCAGATAAAATTATCTTCTTTTAAGAAAATCTTTTAGGTTTATCCTGAAAAATACCTGTTTTGAAGTGACTAACCTATGTATACTTTAAAAAATTTATTTCTTCTTTCTTTCTTGGTTTCAGACTTGTTTGTCTTTGCAAAGAGTACAGTCCCTGTGGGTTTCATTCTGTGACTTCAATAAACTCAGTATTTTAATATTTCTTTCCCCATTTAGATTTAATCTCGCTTCTGCATTGATACACCTTTACTTTTTTCATTTCCAAGATAATGGGTTTTGGCACAGCTTATATTATCACTTACCTTTTGGTGTACTCACTTTTTTTCTTGGATACTTTGACTTTGCCATCAAGCTGTTGTTTTTTGATCTATGGTGGATTTGGGGCAGTTACAGTGGACCATAATCAGGTGTTCAACAAAGAATGCAAACTGCTACTAGTTATTCACTTAAAGAGGTTTCAAGGCAGTTCAATAAATCGTTTTTTCCTTCACATATTCCATAACAAGCCAGTTTGTGACTTTGGTCAGGCAAAGATAAATTGTATTCTAGCTCACACTGGTACTTACTATTTGTTAGCAAATTTTAAAGGCTTGGAAAATCATTTCTCTATAAGTGAAACAGTAATGATCACATTAGCTGTTTGTCAAAACAATGGCAAAAAAACCCCTTGCATTTACTAATCAAGGAAAGTAGTGCCTCACGCTTAGCCATGAGATGGAAATTAAGATTTTTGCTTGTGTGATTTTACTCAGTTTTGCAAAGTAAGACACATCCTCTGACATGAACTAGTTCTGTAAGTCTAAAAATTGTGCTCTGATGCACCTATACTTAACTGCAGTAAAAAGGGTGAGGCACGAAGGAGATGTGACAAGGGGAATCTGGAGAGAGGGAAGGGAAGCCTGGCAAAGCTTAAGCTGCAGTTTTAGGAAGTTGCGTGATCTGCAAATACAGGTGCTATGTTAGGTCCGTCCATATCCTTCCTCTGCCCTGAGTCAGACATGTCTTTTATTTGCTGTGTCTGAATTAACACTTTTCATTACATGAGTCGGAAACAAGGATGAAACCTGTCTTTTCTCATCCTTGTTGGATGTGTAAATTGAAAGCAGTGGATCTGATTGATAAAGCCATGAAATTCACTCCTTCATTAGGGCCATCCAATAGACTTCTAGTCAGGAAAACAAAATGCCTTTATTTGCTTTTTTACCATAGAGCCGGTTAGCTCAGTGGTTTGAGCGCGGTGCTGGCAACAAGGACCAACACTGAGGTAGCGGGTTCGATTCCCGCTCGGTCCCCATGTGTTGCCTGGTCTAGTCAAGAGGTGGCATCCCTGCCCAAAACAGGGAGGTTGGACTAGATGATCTCTGAGGTCCCTTCCAGCCTAGGCCATTCTATGATTCTGTGACCTCCATCTTTTGTTCCTGGAGGTTCTTAAAGATGCAGGAAATCATGTGTTTCTTTCTGTGAGGTAAAACTTGCTGCCATGCTTCTGCCTGACCACTGGGATGGCACCAACAGTTGTTGCAGCAAAGGCAGCTCAGGAGGTCGCTGTGAGAGGTGATGGAGATTCCCTTGGATGGAGTTCCCTTGGGTTGAGTGATGTCTCAGCACTTAGGCTGGTGTGTGTGCTGCGGAGAGCAGGATGAGAAGGACAAGTGTTAGACAGCAGTCTGGAGCTTGGGGAGTTCTGCTCCGCTAGGTTGCTGCCCTGAGCGGAGCTTCAGACACATAGGCTATGCTGTTGCTCATATGTAATGGCAATAGCATTAAAATCATAGAACTGTAGAATGGTTTGGGTTGGAAGGGGCCTTTAAAGGTCATCTGGTGCAACCCTCGCAGTGAGCAGGGACATCTTTAACTAGATGAGGTTGCTCAGAGCTCCATCCAACCTGACGTTGAGTGTTTCTAGGAATGGAGCTTCTACCACCTCCCTGGACAGCCTGTTCCAGTGTTTCACCACCCTCACGGTAAAAAATGTCTTCTTCCAATCTAGTCCAAGTCTGCCCTCCTTTAGTTTAAAACCATTACACCTTCTCTTGTCACAACAGGCCAGAAGATAGTCCCTGTCTTTCTTATAGGCCCCATTTGCAAGGCCGCTATAAGGTGTCCCCAGACTCTTCTTCAGGCTTAATGACCCCAACTCTGTCAGCCTGTCCTCACAGGAGATGTGCTCCTTTGATCATTTTTGTGGCCCTTCTCTGGGACCTGCTGCAGCAGGTCTATGTCTTTCCTGTGCTGAGGGCTCAAATCGAAATAGAACAGATTTCTATTTTTCATGGGTTAGGAACTTGCTTTGCTGTTTAAGAAATAACTGGACAGTAAAATAATTTCTACAGCAGACTAGGAATTTTCTGCTATCAAAGTACAAGTAAAAGGTTTCTGTCACAGATAACTGAACAGAGTCTGTCTG